GGTGTTGACCATGTCTTCAACTTGGCTGCTGATATGGGCGGGATGGGATTCATTCAGTCCAACCATTCTGTTATCATGTACAACAATACCATGATCAGCTTCAACATGCTTGAAGCCTCTAGGATCAATGGTGTTAAGAGGTTAGTTACTGCATTTCCCGTGGTTTCTTTTGTTGCCTTATTATAGGTTGAAATTCCTTGGGTGGGGTTTGAAATTCATAATTTATTTTGGATGATGATTTGGTTTGTGTAGGTTCTTTTATGCCTCTAGTGCGTGTATTTATCCTGAGTTTAAACAGCTGGAGACAAATGTGAGCTTGAAGGAATCTGATGCCTGGCCTGCAGAGGTCGGTTTACTTTTAATGGTTTAGTATAATGTATGTAAGAAATCACTTGACCTATTTTTGCCTACTAAAATCTTTAAAATTTGTTACAAATTTTGTTCTTTAGCCGCAAGATGCTTATGGCTTGGAGAAGCTTGCAACAGAGGAGCTGTGCAAGCACTACACCAAGGACTTTGGCATTGAATGCCGTGTTGGAAGGTTCCACAACATTTATGGTCCCTTTGGAACATGGAAAGGTGAGGCATGGAAACAACAGTGATTGCAACTTAATTATCTGCTTCTAGCTTTTCACTGTTATGTGGATTGATCGTCTTTAATAATAGGTGGCAGGGAAAAGGCACCGGCTGCCTTCTGCAGAAAGGCACTTACTGCTACTGATAAGTTCGAGATGTGGGGAGATGGACTCCAAACTCGATCCTTCACCTTCATTGATGAATGTGTGGAAGGTGTACTCAGGTAAATGCCTAAGATCTCTTTTAGGGTTGTCATAAGTCATAACTTTTGGGTGGGTGTATTTGAGAAGATGAAATTTGCAATAACATGCCAATGAACAAATGTCTGGTTTTCTTTTTGGTTGACACTTTTGATGTATTTGAAGACAGCTTGGAATTGCACATGCCAAATGCATTAGAATGTTGCATTCAGCATTCTCATATATCTGGTGATGGAAGATTTGAAAAATGCACTCTAGAAAAGTTGGTCATGCATGTTATCCCACCCATTTTTCTGGGAGAATTTGTCCTAGATACCTCTGAAGAAAACAATGAGGGATCTGGAAATTATCATGCTATATGAAGTCTGACAAAATGGTGATAGACTTGGTGGTACATGACATGCTGACATAAACTCCTTTCGACGCCTTAGGTTGACAAAGTCCGACTTCCGGGAGCCAGTGAACATTGGAAGTGATGAGATGGTGAGCATGAATGAGATGGCCGAGATTGTTCTTGGCTTTGGGGACAGGAAGCTCCCCATCCATCATATCCCGGGTCCAGAAGGTGTCCGTGGTCGTAATTCTGACAACACATTGATCAAGGAAAAGCTTGGTTGGGCTCCAACAATGAGGCTGAAGGTACATGACTACAACTAAGACTATCCTGATTTGGAGTTCCTTTTCCAAGTCTAACTCTTTGACACTCGACTGTTGTGCTTTGTAGGATGGCCTGAGATTCACATACTTATGGATCCAGGAACAGATTGAGAAGGAGAAGGCTCAGGGTATCGACTTGGCTGTCTATGGATCATCCAAAGTGGTTGGAACTCAAGCTCCGGTTCAGTTGGGTTCTCTTCGTGCTGCCGATGGCAAGGAATGAAGCCAGTTCTAAAAGCTTCAGTTGAAGCTGCTCTTTTGGAAGGATTTGGCTTATAGATCTTGTGGTAGAAAGGCGAGAGACTTGTGGAATGGTAGGAGGAGAGGTTGTTTTGGAATAACCGGAAAATTAGATTGATTATAGTTTATGTCCATTTTAATTTTCAATCATGTTGAGGGATGGGATGACTTGCTGCTTACTGCATCATCATCCAATGTTCTCTTTTTTCGTACCAGCTATATGCAGTGGTAATGTATTAGAGTGGCCAGCGTTTAGCATTTCATTATAATAAACTTATAAATCTTGTTATCTATCTTTTCTTTGAATCATATTTTTTTGAGCCACGGGTTTTCACTTTTCAAGATTGGCTGCCGACTGCCGTTTGTATGGACAAGTTTTGGTGTTTGTGTTGGTGTCAACTGCGAATGCTTCCAAAGGTCTGCAAATTTTCTTTTCGCGGGTTGCGGGCAGAGTGGTGCTGTCTTGGAGCTCTGTACAGTGAAAAGGCCAAAAACTGATGCCAAGGGAAACAAGGAAAAAGGAAGCAGCATTCTTGTTAGATTTGCAAGGGGCCACCATGTATTAATTCCCTCTGCCATTTTATGGATATTCCTTTTTTTTTAGATATTTCAAGCTTGAGGATAAGATCTTCAACTTTCTTTTGCGATTAAGGGTTCGTTTTATTTTGGTGATAATTTAGATGAGATTGTTATAATGTGTGCATTTTTAACAAAGCATTATTTTTTTTTGTTTATTTATTGTAACAATACATCCATTGTTTTGATGATGTGAACAACTATATCTCTACTAAAACTTGAGATTGTTGAGATAATTTTGAGGAGATCGTTGAGTTCCTTTTTTGTTCCAAGTATACCCCTAGTTATATAATATGCAAGGTTAAAAAGGCGCTAGGCGTAAGGTGGGCATTGAGCATTTGTCTAGCGCCTAGCTCGCCTAGATGTAGACTAAGCGTGCCTAGGCGATCGAAGAAAACAAGTTATTCACACTGCATGATGAATGAAATAATAATCTACAACCCTTCCTCACTCAGTTAAAATGATTAATAACTTACTCAACACTTAATGATAAGAACATAGCTGAAGAATTCAAAGAATCGTAGCTCAATAGCTTACAAATTTCTTGAGCTATTGAAAATATTGATATATAAAATTGATTTCGTAGTTGATGTTAGTTTTCTCCTTTAATATTGACTTCCTAGATCCATCTAGTTATCTTTAGGAGAGACTTATATGTCGCCTTACTCCATTGACGTATTCCAGTATCTAATTAGGCGTGAAACTCCAAGGCGAGGCGTTTTGCTATTGCCTTGAGCCTAGGCGTAAGATTAAGTGTGTCTTTTTTAACCATGATAATATGTATAAATGTTTGGGTATGCCTATGGTAACTTGCAAGTCACCATAACTTGGAGAAAACGGCCGACCTCTTCCATTAAGTGGTCGACCTCTTCCACCAAGTGGTCTACCACTTGCTCATCCGGTCTACTACTTCTGGAAATGGGTCGACCTGAAGACACACTTACCTTCAAGTGGTCGACCTCTTCCACCAAGTGGTCTACCACTTGAGTCAACCGGTCTACCGCTTTCTGAAATGGGTCGACCTGATGACACAATTACCTTTAAGTGGTCGACCTCTTCCACCAAGTGGTCAACCACTTTCCAAAAAAATGGTTTACAACTTCCACCAAGCAGTCTACCACTTGAGCTAACCAGTCTACCACTTCTGGCAATGAGTCGACATGTGACGCACTTACCTTCAACTTACACTTGCTTGTCGGAGGAGGTAGACCGCTTCGAGCCTGAAAACTAAAATTATCCAGGAGAAAATAGTACATAACTGCTTATAAGAATGTATAGCAGATATTTCTCTTCATACCAATTCTCTCTAGAAAATCACGATTACTGCCTGCTGAGACATTTGGACACAAACCCCTTAACACTAACTCGCGGCTTATCAATTTGAATCCTATCTCTATCTCAATCGTCCTTATGCTTCAACACTTTTCATGACCACCTAAGATCTTTGAGGTTCACCTTTTTCTGCATGTAGTGTACTTGTAAAAAAGATGTGGCAAACTACTTCAGTTCTTTCGACAACATGATTATCAATTGAAAAAGTTCAACATCCGTGTTAACCTTATGTTGACTTCTCAGCGAATTGAGCAGAGACTCTTCTTTTTCTCTTGAAGTTTATGAAGAAATTTTGCAGAGCTTCTCCCTATAGCCTTAATGAAGTTCCTGAACCCTTGAACACCATCTTCCATGATCCTTCTTATGATCCCCATAATCTTCCCCATAAGCTTCTCCCTATAAATATGTAGGGAGTCTCCAGTTTAATGTTTATATTGAAAATTAAAATTCATTAGTAGTTTGTAGTTTGTCTCTTTCATCTCAATTCTATTCGTTCTAAGTTTGTTCCTTACGTTTATCGTTTGATTATTGCGACGTAGTCGTGGAAGTTCTAATCAGAGAAATCCACATAACAGTTTGGCTTATTGTTCATATTAGTAGTTATTGTGCATATATTTAGTGGTTTTCTCTATCTAATAACGATTTTCCATTTGTAAGCATTGATTTATGTTTCTGATTAGTCGTTATCATTCCTTTCTACAATTTTTTAAATCACTACTGATGTGAAATTCCTAAATCACTACTGATAACAATTAAAAGAAGTACAAGAAAATATATAATCATTAGTTCACTACTATAACCCACAATGAACACTACTAATTTAATTAGTAGTAAATTTTCACGTTGAAAATCTCTATTATAAAGAGGCGAGATATTTTCAAAATTTAATTTTTTGAAATAGCAAATAAGACGCTCGTTACTTTCCAGTTTCCACTAGCAAACCTAAGTTAAATGTAATAAATAATGATTCGAGTGGTATTATCGCAGAGGAGTAAGCACTAAAGTATTGATATGGAGAATTCTCTGAAGATGCTCTCTGGTTTTCCGACTGCCTATAACCCGCCGGACGCCGACATGGCTCTTTCGGGCAGGCCGCCGGACCCCACTTCTACGACTCTGTCATGCATCCCATTAACGGCGCAAGGCTCACCAAGCTCACCTCCGTTGAATTACAAGCTGGCGCTTGCGGGATCCCCGGTTCCATCTCCGACTAAGGGCCAACAATGGACTTTCATTGGCGAGCATGACTTGGAGGTCGGACTATACAACGGCGAACCGGAGTTAAAGATATCGCCCCAACTCAAAGAATGCCTCTGTTTACCGTGGAAGCGTACCCTGGTGGCGCGGCTCCTGGGAAAATCGGTCTCGTACCAATACATCTGCTCGCAACTCCGTTGGAAATGGAAACCTGTTGGGAACATGGAAATACTATATTTGAATAACTCAACTTTCTTGGTCAATTTCAGCAATGAGAAGGATTACCTAAATGCTCTCACCGGCGGTCCTTGGGTGATCCTTGATCACTACTTGATTGTTCATCAATGGACGCACACATTCCGAACATCCGACAAACCTCACCGATCTGTGGTAGCATGGGTCCAGCTACCTGAGTTACCAATTCATTTCTACCATCGAGAAGTGTTGTTCGCGTTGGGAAATCTTTTGGGAAGAACGGTCAAACTCGATTATCATACGGAACGTATGGAAAGAGGGAAATTCGCTCGGATCGCCGTGGAGCTCGATATGACCAAGCCTCTGAAGACGCGGATTAGGCTCGATGGGTTCTGGCAACAAGTGATCTATGAAAACTTGCCGGAAATCTGCTTTGAATGTGGTCGAATCGGGCACTCGGAAGTAGCCTGCCCCGAGCTTCACAATTCCCAGGCGAGCATCTCTCAGGCGGGTGCGGCAGATTTGCTCCAGTCACCGGAAGAACAACCGCCGGAGCAGCCGGCGGGTTACGGTCCTTGGATGCAGGTGATTCGGAAATCACGCAGCCAGAATAGGAAAGGGCAAGCCAGCCAGGGATCCGCCCAAGGTAATCCAACGGAAAAAAAATTGACGCGGGAAAGATGGGGAGCAAATCGGGAAAGAATACGAAGCAAGATCAAGCAATCCCTAAGAACTCGAAGACAAGAACGGGAAGGAGGAGCCGAAAGGGGAAACTGAAAAAGGGAAAGGCGCCGTTGCAATCTGGGAAGGCAGACGTCCTCGGTGGATAACCTAGTAAAGGAAAGTCGGGCCCTAGGCCCATCTCAAATGTGGCGCATGGTGGACCCGAAGCCCAAGGAAGTCACCATAGCCCCTAGTCCGAAGCCCACTAAAGAATCAATAGATGACCTGAAAATGATGGACCCTGTTGAGAATGAGCCCAAGAACGTGAACCCAATTTGCAAGTCCTCTTCAGCGGATCCGACCATCCTTTTGATAGTGAAGTTTCGTCCCCGGGGAAGGAACTGTCCCACGTAATTGCTCATCAATTCGAGAACACAACAGAGGGAAAGCCGAGTCCATTCCAAAGAAGAAGAAGGTTCCCATTCTCCGGGTAGCAAAGAATAGCCACGAAATGCGAGCTGGAACGGGAAGCAGCAAGCGCACATCAAAAAGCAAAATAAGTCCAGCCATCGGAAAGCTGTCGAAGAGTTCCTCGTCCAACTCCAATCCCTGCCACCTGCTGGCAGCTCTTGTTCGGGTTCCAAAGTAAACAATGACGCTATGGAAGAAATCACTGAGCAGCCCACGAGTACTGAAGGAGAACAAACTTCCCGATGCGAGTGCCCCGATGGGAGAGGAAAACCCCGCTGGCGAAGCCGGCAATTTGAGTGGTTCCCCCCTAATTCGTTTTCAGGGAAGTCACCGACCCATCCCTTTAATTTTCCTTATGATTAATATTTTCAGTTGGAACTGCCGGGGGGCAAAACACCCCAAGTTCTTGCTACCTTTAAGGAGTATGTGTTTACCCATAGACCTAATATTGTCTTTATTGTCGAGCCACAGATCAGTGGTAAGGATGCTGAAGATGTTATTAAGACGATGGGGTTTGATAAACATATTGTAGTTGATGCTATTGGCTTTTCTGGTGGTATTTGGGTGCTTTGGAATGATACTCACCTGTCGATTACTGAATTGGATCGTGACTCACAATTCCTTCACCTTTTGTGTACAGTTCAAAACAGTGCTCCAGTTCTCTTGACTGCGATCTATGCCAAGCCTAATGACCATGACAGACAACCCCTTTGGGCGGCGATTCGTAGAATGGAGCAGCATATTGAGAGGCCGTGGCTCTTAGCAGGGGGTTTTAACTCCATCACGTGTCCCTCGGAGCGCAAAGGAGGTGCGGCCTACAATCCTACCAAGACGGCCAGTTTCAACGCGTGCATTCGTGATTGTGGGCTTATTGATGTCGGATTCACTGGGCCTAAATTTACCTGGAGTAATGGTCGGCTTTCCCAACGCCTTGACCGAGCTCTTTGTAATCAGGATTGGATCAGGCTCTTCCCAGATACTGTTTCAACGAATCTGCCCAGGCTCCGCTCGGATCATAGACCAATCCTCATCTGCAGCAATAATAACCACATTCCCCCTATGCAGGTAAGACCTTTCCGGTTTCTAGTGCCGTGGTTAGCTCATAAAGACTTTCATCCTACGCTTGAGGCCTCGTGGAACCGAGGAAGGGACTGTTTGTTGTCTTTGCAGGATCTTCAGACACATCTTACTCGTTGGAACAAAGAGGTGTTTGGGAACATATTTTGGAGGAAAGCTAAACTGTCCAAGCAATTAGCCCGCCTGGAGGTTCAGAACGAAACGACAGCGAGTGAAGTGTCCCTCAAACGGGAAGAGAAGGTTCGGGAGGAGCTTGAGCATACTTTATGGCAGGAAGAGCTCCTGTGGCTCCAGAAGGCCAGGGCTAACCAGATTGTGAACGGGGATAGGAACACTCGATACTTCCATACTGTGGCTCTCACGAGAAGGCGGAAGAATAGAATAACCAAATTGCAGCGGGACGATGGGACTTGGATCGAGGACCCGGAGTTGCTGAAGGCTATGGCCAGGGAGTTCTATGTCCGGCTGTACTCGGAGGATGGAATGGGGCAGCAAGATATCCCAGCTTTGTTCAATATCTTGACCGGACCATGACGTCGCACCTTGCTGTTAGTCCACTTCCCGAGGAGACGTACCATATAATCAAGGAGATGGGAGGGCTAAAGGCACCAGGGAAGGATGGTTTTCATGCTTCTTTCTACCAGAAATGTTGGGACAGGGTGGGAGTTGATTTCCATGATCACATTGTTGCTTGTTTCAGGAATCCGGAGCGGATCGAGAAATGCAATGAACCCTCCTAGTTCTGCTGCCCAAGGTGGATTATCCGAAGCAAGTAGCACAGTTCAGGCCCATCGGACTCTGCAATGTGAGCTACAAGGTTGTGGCCAAGTGCTTGGCGAACAGGCTCAAAAAATTTCATGCCTCAGCTGATCGACCCGAGCCAGTCAAGCTTTGTCCCTAGAAGACATATCACAGACAACATCATCATTCTTCAGGAAGTGGTTCACACCATGTCGCTCAGGACGGGAGCCAGGGGGCAAATGATTTTGAAAATCGACTTGGCTAAGCGTATGACAGGATAAATTGGAAGTTCTTGGAGTCCACCCTGCAGGCGGCTGTCTACCCGAGGATTTTGTTAGACTGGTCATGCATGCGTGACAACTGTCCGTTTCCAGGTTCTCTAGAACGGTGGGTGTACCGAACCTTTCCAAACCGACGAGGGGTCTTCGGCAGGGATGTCCTCCTCCCCTTACCTATTTACCTTATGTATTGAAAGACTGAAACCACTGCATTAAGGACTCTGTTGAGAGGAAAGCCTGGAGACCGATTACGCTGTCAAAGGGTGGCCCTGCACTGACTCATTTATTTTTTGCAGATGATTTGGTCTTATTCGCGGAGGCTGACCCGAAGCAAGGAGAAGAGGTCCTAAGCTGCCTGAACCGGTTTTGTGAGGCCTCGGGGGAGCAAGTTAGCAAGGAAAAATCTTGTGTTTTCTTCTAAAAAAACACCAAGGAGAACCTGAAGAAAAGGATCAGCGACATGTTAGGGATCAAGCAAACCAGCAACCTGGGGCGCTATCTGGGTGTTCCGGTAATCCACGGCAGAGTCACCAAGGATACCTATAAATTCATCCTGGAGAAGATCGATCACAGGCTCTAAGGTTGGAAGGCGAGGAGTCTTTCCTTGGCAGGGAGAGTGACCTTGGCTACCTCGGTTCTCAATTCCCTTCCGAATTATGTCATGCAAACGGCAGTTCTCCCGGTCTCGGTTTGTGACATCATTGACAGGAAAATCAGAGCCTTTATCTGGGGAGCAGAAGACGGCGTCTCTAAAACTCACTTGGTCAAATGGGAAACCATCTGCAAACCAAAGGAGCTTGGTGGACTGGGCATGCGCTCTGCTAGAGCCTTGAACCTGGCTTACATTATGAAGCTCGGGTGGGCCTTCTTGAACAAGTCGGAGGAGCTTTGGATTCGGGTCCTGCAGAGCAAGTATTTCAAAGTCAATGAGGCGGGGACCTTGGTGATGAAGAAGAGCAACTTCTCACGACTATGGAAAGGCATTGTGGATACTTGGCCTATTCTCAAGCAGCGAGTGGTGTGGGACATCCGGGAAGGTCATAACGTGCAGTTTTGGACGGATCCTTGGCTTGCTGAGGGCACTATCTTGAGTGAGCATATCACAAGCATTGGGGAAGGAATTAACTGGCAGGCTACCGTTGCGGAGATGGTCACGGATTCAGGTGAGTGGAAGTGGCAGGATGTTGATCCGCATGTGTCTGAGAATCTGTTGGCCTTGATTGCAGGTACAGACCCTCCCGTGCCGGGATCGGGTGAAGACATCACCGCTTGGGGAATGGAGCCAGACGGAAAGTTTAAGCTTCATTCAGCCTATGCTGCGGCTGTGGAGTGGCTAAGCGACGAGATGGGTGAGGAGGAGCAGGCGAACAACCATCAGCACTGGAAGCGCCTCTGGAAGTGGGCGGGCCCGAACCGCATTAAGCATTTTCTGTGGTTGGTTTTCCATGACAGGCTGATGACGAATGCGCAGCGCAAGAGGCGGAAACTGACGACGGACGATACTTGCCCGATGTGCAAAGCGGGACCGGAAACGGCTGAACACATTCTGCGCCAGTGTCCGAGCTCTTCACAGGTATGGAACAAGTTGGGTATACAAGAGACCTCTCTTACCTATGGTCTCGGTTTTGCAGCTTGGCTAGATGTGCACCTCAAGAGGGAAAAGGAAGGCCTTCTGTTTGGTGTGGCGGCCTGGTATCTCTGGAAAAGAAGAAATGAGAAGGTCTTCCACAACCTGACATAAGAGGATCACGTGTTGGCGCAACGTATTGGCTGCTGGACGTCTACTACCAGACAAGCTCAGGAGAATGACACAGCATCTCAGCTAGATAAGCCCTTGAGGTCGGAACAGCAGCTAGCGTGGATACCACCACCACAAGATTGGATGTGCGTTAACACCGACGGCTCAGTGAAACAACCAGGATCAGAAGCTGCTGGAGGGGGCATCATCCGTGACTGGACGGGGAAGTGCATGGGAGCCTTTGTAGAGAACTTGGGAGTGTGCACGATTACCCGAGCAGAGATCATGGCGGCCATCTAGGGCCTACAGATGGCGTGGAAGTACGGATACAGGAAAGTCTTACTGCAGTTGGACTCCACTACGGCCATCAATATCCTTACCTCGCAGGATCAGACGGAGCACAGGTATCATAATCTGGTTCTTCAGTTTCAGAGACTGCTCCAGCTGAACTGGGAAGTCAGAATTTCCCATATCTATAGAGAAGGAAATAAAGTGGCGGATTTCCTTGCTAATAAAGGCCACTCTGCTAGTATAGGTTTCCATGTTTTTGAGAGCTCAGACCCGGGTCTGAACTTCTGGATTTTGTATGACGTTTTGGGTATATCCCAATCCCGGTTAATTTAAGTTCAGGCAGGGGCGCCCTTTAGCGTCCCATTTTCTACCAAAAAAAAAAAAAGAGGAGTAAGCACTCTAGCTCGTGCCAAGCTGAAAGACAAGAAGTCACTTGAACCCAATTATGTTATACACCTAGAACACTTGAACCCAATTATGTTATACACCTAGAAATGTTGTTTCGTGCCCAACAAACAAGACAATCTCCGGAAAAAAATCCAAAACTACCACTGTTTTTAAAAAAAATTACAAAACTACCACCGAAACCAAAAAATTTCCAAATCTGCTGCTCTTAATTAAAAACCGCAGCACGCAGGGGCGATTACAGTGAAAACTGCACTGCAAGGAGGCGGTTTACCATCAAGTCGCATGCCAGTGGAGCGGTTAAAGGTTTTTAGAAAAACCGCTCTTCGAATGAGCGGTTCCCATGACTGGCCTAGGACAAACCGCATGATCTAGGTGCGGTTCTGCGTCGGCAACATAAACCGCCCCTCAGGCAAGCGGTTTATTAGGACCCCCCATCCAGTGGTTTGTGCCTCAGCCCCATTCCCCCGACATCCGACATGTCGGCATACAGGAGGTTGCAGGGGTGGGGGCTTCAGTGTAAAATTTGCCTATAAATGGCAGCTCCGAAAAACTAAAAATCTTCACTCCTCTCCTTCTTCTTAATCTCCTTCTTCTTCAAATTTCAGTTGTGCACCTTTAATTTATTTAGTTTTTACGATTAACGTTAATTCGTAAGTTTGTTTTGTATTACTTTTCATTGTCATTTGTGATTTTTATGGTAGTAACTTAATTACGATTTTATTGCAGATGACATTCCAAAAGTTCACACTTGGGTTATGGTGGAATGTTTACACGGAAGAGACCGGAAAGGGGGTACGTTACGTCGTTGGCAATTTTGTAAAATGAAGGTTGCTACGAGACCAATGCTTGAAGAGCTCCATCAAATGTGTATTGAGGTTACCTGCATGGATGTCACTATAAGAGTTGATCGTATGGTGTATCGATATCCAAACAGACATGGCGGGTCGTTGTGGAATGAGGAATTCCTCATTACCACTCAGGAGGACGTTGATGCCATGGTCCAATTTTTGACCACCAATAACATTAAACAAGCGGAGATGTTTGTTTACACCAAGGCGGTCGAAGGTGGTGTAGGTCATTCTGGAGATGGCCAAACATCTGGTATCCACAGTGGGGGTGGATTATACGAAGATCATTCCCACCAGGAGTACCAAGACCCGAGTTGGTGCCAGGAGTATCATGATGGAACTGGAGGTCATCATCAATCCTTTTCAGCATATGAAGAGGAAGCTCAACAGGCGGATGAGAACCAACAAGAAGGCTACTAGTACCAACTCGAGTACAACTTCTACCAAGGCGACGGTAGTTACCACAACTACCATTACAGAGCTGATGAAGGTGTATCTTGATCAGATGAAAGATGTCAATCCAAGTTTAGTTAGTGACCCTGAGGTTGAAAAAGAGGAAGACGATGTAAGTGTAGACAGCTTCAATCCTCTTGGATGTGCTGATGATTCCGATCCAGATACAGACGCAGACGGTGATGAGGTGCCTCGCGACCGTGTACCTATCTCGTACTACAATCACATTCCAAATGAAGATTGGTATGTTGATGCCGACATGGAGCCGCAGAGGTGTCACTATGGGGTCCACTCACTGGCTTTACGAAGGGCCAACAATTTGCAACGAAGAATGAGGTGCGACACGCTATTGCCACTGAAGCAATGACTCGGAGTTTTGTGCTTACGCCTGATCTCCGCTGTCAACCAAGTGATGGATACTTGGCCCTTGGACAATGGTGGATTACCATCTGCATCGTGATCTAGGGGTGGGCAAAAGGTTCGATAAACCCGAACCGAAACCGAATTAAACCGAACCGAAACCGAATTAATGCTATTCGGTTCGGAATTTGAAAGAAAAATATGGATAATTCGGAAATTAGGTTCTTTCAACCGAATCGAATTTCCTACCGAAAAACCGAAATACTATAATTGCAAGCTCCAAATGGTGGATTTTTAAGTTTGTAGTTGTTTTTAGACTTAAATATTTGAAATGTTTCATGACTTTTGTGTTGAAAAGTTTGATTTTATCATTGATGATGCATATAATTGATATTTATTTAGGGGTGAAAAATAATTTAAAAGTGAGAAAATACAAGTAGCTTCACAAATTCGGTTTTGTGTAAAAAACCAAACCGAATTATAATTCGGTTTAAACCGACCAAACCGAATTATATAATTCGTTTAGAATTCAGTTTGAGGTTTGGGAGAATTCGGGGACCCGGTATTCATAATTTCAGTTCGGTTGAAACCGAACCGACTGAATGCCCACCTCTATCGTGATCTCCCTTTTCTGGCAGTACCAACCCTGTGACGCTCCATATGAAATGCTCCCAACCACTCATATTCGCAACAACTTTAGCTGGTGGAGTAGAGTCCACACAAATAACATAGCCATCGATGGGCAAATCGGTTAGGATGGCAATATCCTTAAGTGTGATGGTGCACTCGCCTTCATGAAAATTGAAGCAATGTGTCTCCTTTCGCCATCTCTCTACCAATGTCGTGATGAGTTGGCGGTCGATCTTTATTCCATTAAAGTGCCTAATGGGATCCAATCTTGCCCTTCTTAGAAATGGCAAGATGACGTCGTTCCATTCAAGCACATTCGTCGTACCCCTATAGCGGACTATATGGTATGCATCCTAGGAAAGAATTTAACTTTAACTATAAGTTTATGATTTATACATATATAAATCTATTATAGCAAACAATATCAATTAATGAAATCAAGGTTTTTTTTCCAAGAAATATACATAATTTAAAAAACATTAATATTGAGCTAACTAAAATAATTAACTAAAATGAATACCATTTTAGAAATTTAAGTAAAATTATTTTTGTACACATACACATAAAATCAAATATATTTTTTTGTACTTCGTATTGATTGTTTTCAATAATTTAAAGCAATACAACTACACTCGTAAGACTCTTAGGAGAGGTATACATCTCCTTAGAAACACAACCTGTTTGACAGAAAAAGGGGGGATCCGAGAATCGCTTAGAACCCAATTTTCCCACAAAATGGGAGAATCATGATGATCGCTTAAGACCCCATTTTCTTAGACATGCATTTCCTTATAAATAGTCTAAATAAGTGTTGTATTGTATTGATTTAAATTATTGAAAATAATCAATACGATTAACAATTAACAAATTTATTTTACAAACCAGTAAATTACGTCAACAAAATAAAAATTACAAGTGATGATAAATAATATATACCTTGTGGTCGTTCCAAACATCCCTTGAATGATGATTTTCTTGGTCGTATAACTCAGTCGGATCAATCGGTCCTTGATCAACATAATATCGTTGATTGTATATATCAACATCCTCTCCAACCTACGATAGCATAACAACAACATAACCCTCTTCTTCGAAAAAATCGGCCATTTTTCAGGAACTGGACAGAGATTCGACGGTTTTTTAATGAAAACAAAGAAAAGTTTTTTGAGGGCAGATCGGACTTAGCCGCAACCAACAAACCACTATTTCCAAGGTTTTTGGGTGTATAGGGGATGGGTAGAGTGATAAACTTAGAGAGAGAGAGAGAGAGAGGAGATTGGTTTTGGTGTGAAGAAAATAAGAGGAAGGGAGTGGTATTTATAGGTGGAGGACCACCTGGTGGGGGGCGATTTGGTATTTTTACGCCACCAAAAATCGTGTCTCCAGTACACGGTTTTCTTTTCCCGACGCAAAAACCGCGGCTCCAGCACACGGTTTTCTTTACCCGAAGCACAAACCGCGCCCTCGGGGAACAGTTATCAGTGTTGGACGCGGATCGCTCCGCTGGCAGGCGGTTAACCGTCGGATCGCCTGTCCATCGAATGGTTGCATGGACCGTCCCGTGGAGGAGCAGTTTTGCAGCTGCCCAAGGGATAACCGCCTGTGTCCCCGCGCTGTTTGAAGGAGAACAAAGGCGCGGCTTTAGATTAATGGTGGTAGTTTTGGAATTTTGTTGGATTGGGTGGTACTTTTGTAAATTTTTTTATAGTTTGGGGAAAAAATCCACAATCTCCGGTTCTAGTGAAAAATATGTTGATATGTATTAGAGTGTGTTTGGATATAAGAATTTGGATTTGGTATTTGAGATTTGAATTGTAGAATATTAAATTATTTGTTTGGATATTAACTACATATGGTATTTGGATTTGTACCAAATTATAGGATGATTTCCAAATATATGTCTATTTTATTACTTGTTTATTTCAAATACATATATTTTTTCGTTGAATATTTCAAATACATATCAACAACTAGTGATTCAAAATTTCTCAAAGCAAAAAATTGAACTAGTTTGTGAGATCTTAAAAGTTCATGTACTATAGTGCAAGACAAAAAATATAAAGCTACTAAAACGTAATCTTACTACCAAAAGTTATGAACTTTTTGTCAAAAAATTTAAAGTTCAAGTACTACATTGTATTTAAAATAAATTTGAATACCAAAGAATAATTTTTCAAAATTTATAATCTATCACCTTAAAATTCAAAATTAAAATTTATACGATATAAAATATCAACAAAATACAAATGAACACGAAAAATAACAAATTTGAATTACATATATTTTGAATACAAGTATTTCAAATGCAATTTGTAATACACGGAGTTCGTGGGTGTGAATCCATGACGTCCTTTTTCTGCTTTTGCTGAAATCCTAGAAATTAGAAACGGTATGCATTAGGGTGGTAACTGGATTTTAAGTAGCCATCGTGGCTACATTAATATCCACCATTTATTTTTCTCTTTTTTTAATCTCACATGTTAAGATGACTTTAGAGTAATTTTGGGGGAAAAAAAGACCACACCTGATTATTCTATATATTCTACCTTAAGTTAAACCCGCAGTAGCCGGCCATTCCTTCCCCTCCCTCGCTCTCCGACAGGCCGACCATCCCTCCCCCATTCTCTCTCTCTGACTCTCCACCCCTCACCCCACCGCCGACCCTCCCATGTCCCCCGTTCCTCCCACTCTCCATTCCCCATTGCAATGGTATTGGTTTTTTTTGAAATGATATATATAGATTTATATTGGTAGATCGTTTATATTGGTAGTTTTCGTGTAATTGTATATATTTATTTCTGCAATGGTATTGATGTTTTTCAAACTGATAGTTGTTGTCTAATTAATTAGTAGTGATTTCGTGTTTTTTTCTTTTTGCAGAAAGATTGAGAAAAATAAGAGAAGGAGATCTAGCTGCATATTATGGAAATGAGAGAAAAACGGAAAATTATAATTAATAAATTTTTATAAATGCTTAAAATAAAATTTATTAAAAAAATTAATTAATACAATTTATTTTTCCATAACCAATTTACTCTTGGTTAGAAACCAGTAATCGAGTTCGCCCTTCTCTTCTCCTCTACCCGCAGCCCGCAGAGACCCCAAAACCCAGCTATTGAAGCGACATGCAGTTCTTCGCCTTCCTCCCAAACCCAGCTTGTTGGTCGAACTCGTTCTCATCAATCTCCAGCAGCCACATTCCTCGTGAATCTTTTGTTCCCATCAATCGCCAGAGCCCGACTTCGCTGCAACTTCTCCTCAATGCCGTCCCAACTTCCCTCCTTAATCCAAAACCCTGATCAGTGTTTTGTTTCTCCCAGTCTGCCGCCAACAAATCCTTCGTCGCCGCTCGACCCGTCCGCCGCCAATGATTCCTTTCTCCGCCGCTGAATCCGTCTCTGCCAAAGAATCCTGCTCCGGCATCTTAGCTCTGGTTAGTTCCCTCCCATGATCTGCCGCCGCCAAGTTTTTTTTGGTTCTCAGTTTGCAGCATATATAAAAGGCTTCCTCAGTTTCCTTATGCTCTTTTAGTTGTTTGAATTAGCATGAAGAACAGAATGGGTTTGGTGTTTTGAAGTTTGAACTGCTTTGAGTTGTTTGCTTTTGACCATATATGTTTGGTGGTTTGATTACAGTAATGGGTGGTTTGGCAACCATGTATTGTAGATTACATGAATTTTAGTATATCATGTGTTTTTTAGATGAGGTTGTGAGAATTCATGTAATAATAGATTATATTGTTTGGATTGTATGGATTCATGGTGGGACACCAATATCATGATATTTGGCCAAAATGAAACAATGAACTCATGTAATGTGAGAATTAGATGTTAGAATACATGGTTACCAAACGACCCTAAGTATTTAGTTGCCTCTGTAAGTAGAGAGGATTAAATTTGATCATACATTTAGTTGCCTCTGCATGTGGCTGAATTAGCGTGAACAAAATGAGTTTTTAGTATTAATTTGTTCTAATGATGAAATGGGGCAAAAGGTCAGGGGACATGAGGAACGCCCAAAAGATTTGGTTTTTACGAGCTTTTCCTTATATTTTCTGGTTCTTCCCTCTCTAGAACCCTTTGGGCTCTTACGTCCATGTTCACCTGGTTTATCATGGTGATGATATGCCACTTACCCTTGGGTGTTCCGTTCTTGATCACCATGAAATTCTAATGACTTGGTAGACTGATTTTCAATGTCAGGTTTAGTAATCAACTAGACAGGTTTCATTTTCAGGTTCTAGTTTCAGATTTACTAAAAATCACAGCTAAACAGGTCTTTATATTCAGGTTTAGCCTACTGCCGGAGTATTATGAAATTTCTTTTCCCTCCAAAATTCCGCAATCCAACGGCCCCCCCCCGGGAAATCCAATCAACACTCTTTCCGAAATTTATCCTTCCTCCATATCAATACCACCAAACTTGAAAAGCTCCTGAATCTTGTCTGCTGGACAAAAACCCTCCAACATGCGACAGAATTGCATGCCAAGCTCATCACCACCACCTCCATTTCCTCCTCTGCTCTCTTCAACTCCCTCCTGTGCTGCTACTCCGATTGTGGCAGAATCGACCGGACCCTTCTCTTGTTCTCTTCGAATTCCGGTAGTGCGTCAAGGAATGTGGTCTCCTGGACTTCAGTTATCGCTCAGCTTTCTCGTTTGAAGAAGCCCTTGATGACGTTGGAAGTCTTTAGTGAGATGAGGAGGAATGGCATTTGGCCGAATGAGTACACGGTCTCGGCTGTGCTGCCAGCTTGTGCAGAAAGCAAGGTTGTCCGACATGGTGAGCAGGTGCATTGCTTGGTTTGGAAATGTGGGTTCGGGTCGGATTTGTTTGTTGGAAGCGGGTTGGTTGATGTGTATGCCAAGTGTGGGGAGATGGGTTCCGCGAACAAGGTGTTCGACGAAATGTCGCACAAAAACCTGGTTACCTGGAACTCGATGATTGTTGGTTGTTTGAGGAATAAAAGGTTCGATTTTTGTATTGTGTTGTTTAAGGAAGTCATGAGGGATGAGTCTATGAGTCCTGATCAAGTGACTGTTTCGAGCGTGTTGAGTGCTTGTGCTCATGTAGGGTCTGCAGAATTTGGAAGGTTAGTCCATGGAATTATTATCAAGTTTGGTCTCTTAAGTTTGGATTATGTGAGAAACTCGCTTATGGATATGTACTGCAAGTGTGGTTTGCTTGATTATGCTGCTAGTACATTTGAAATTTCCTCAGACAAAGATGTTGTTGGCTGGAATGTAATGATAAGAGGGTGCTCATTCAGCTATCACTTTGAAGAAGCTTACAGCTATTTTAATGCTATGAAGAGGGAAGGAGCATCTCCTGATGAGTCATCGTACTCTTCTGTCCTCTACGCATGTGCTAGTTTGGCAACACTCAATCCAGGACTTCTTATCCATGGTCATATCATAAAATCTGGGTTTTCAAAATACCCTTTTGTAGCTAGTTCATTGATCACAATGCACTCAAAATGTGGAAGCTTTATCAATGCATCACGCACATTCAGGGAGATTGAGACTCAAAATGTTGTTTGTTGGACTGCCATGATCGCTGCTTGCCAGCAACATGGTCACGCAGAAAAGTCATCGAACTATTTGATGAAATGGTGGGTGATGGGATTAAGCCAGATGACATTACTTTCATTTGTGTTATATCAGCTTGTAGCCATACTGGTCGAGTGGAAGAAGGATACAAATACTACAACTCAATGATACATGAGCATGGTTTGAGCCCTAGGCTTGAACACTATGCTTCCATGGTGGACTTGCTTGGGCGAGCAGGCCGACTCAAGGAAGCTCGAAAGTTCATATTGGAAATGCCAATCGAACCAGATTCAGCAGTCTGGGGAGCATTGCTAGGAGCGTGCTCGAATCATGGAAATATCGAAATGGGTAAAGAAGCAGCAGCCAGGCTTTCGGATATGGAACCAAATGACCCAGGAAACTATGTCCTGCTTTCTAACATGTATGCTAGGAATGGTAAGTTAAAGGAGGCAGATCAAGTTAGAAGATTGATGGGTACCAAAGGGGTCAAAAAGGATCCTGGGTGTAGTTGGGTCGATGTTAGAAACTCAACCTACGTGTTTACAGCTCATGATAGGTCACATCCTCGGACCGACGAAATCTACGAGATGTTGCAGAAAATTGAGGAGTTGGTGAAGAAGAAAGGGTATGTAGCTGAAACTCGACATGCAATGAATGATTCAGATGCTTATAAGGAGCAGAGCTTGTGGGTTCATAGTGAGAGATTAGCCCTTGCATTCTCTCTTCTTGTTCTTCCTTGTGGTGCTCCGATTCAGATAAAGAAGAACCTGAGAACTTGTGGGGATTGTCATACGGTTATGAAGCTCGCTTCCGAGATATTTGATAGAGAGATCATTGTTAGGGATGTGAACCGGTTTCACAAGTTTGCTAATGGGTTTGTGTTCCTGCAAAGATTATTGGTGAATATTTTCACCTGTTTTCTTAGCAGAGTTATATCTCCCTTGTCGCCTTGGTGATTTTTAAGGATGATTGTTGGGTTTGATGAAATTCGGGTTAGATAAGATCATGAAGGAGAGGAATTCTGTGCACATTCCAGTCTCTCTTGCAGGTATAAAGTTCCGAGGTCAATTTTGTGCCAGAATTCTGTCTTTCTGTCGATTGATTGAGCTTCTGGGCTCTCTTTTTCATGAGTCCTTCAATACCAGCAATGGGTTCTCGTTCATTTTTTTTTAATGTGAGGATTGGATCCTTCGTCTCTTTTTCAATTCCACCATGCATTGCGCTGCAGTTTTCATTTCTGTTTTGGGATATTTCATGCTTTTCTCTGTGGAATTTTGCTGATTCTGGTCCAGTTTTTCTGGATTTGTGTGGATTGGATTGTCAATGAATTCCTAGGATTTTGTTCTGTTTTATGAAATTCCGTTTGTGTGGATGAGAATTGAATTACGGGGATTCTTTTTTCTCTCTTTGAGGATATTGATATTGCTCTGTTTATGACTGTTTGGTTTTGGGTGCTTTACTGTAATGCTTGTTGGAAATGGAGAATCACTTGGCTTCTAACCTCTTTTGCTGCTGATTTTAATCATTCTTTTGTTTCAGTTACTATGGGGAGCTCTATTGGCAATCTGAGAAGCTGAAAATCTATATTACTGGAGCTGGTGGTTTCATTGCCTCTCACATAGCGAGGAGTTTCAAGAGTGAAGGTCACTACATTATTGCCACCGACTGGAAGAAGAATGAGCACATGACAGAAGGCGTGTTCTGTCATGAATTCCATCTTGTGGATCTTAGGGTTATGAATAATTGCTTGAAGATTACCAGAGGTGTTGACCATGTCTTCAACTTGGGTGCTGATATGGCGGGATGGGATTCATCCAGTCCAACCATTCTGTTATCGTGTACAACAATACCATGATCAGCTTCAACATGCTTGAAGCCTCTAGGATCAATTGGTATCAAAAGTTTGGTTACTTGTTCCCTTAGTTTCGTTTGTTCCCTTATAATAGGTTGGAATTCCTTAGGTGGGGTTTTGAATTCATAATTGATTTTGGATGATGATTTAGGTTTGTATAGAATCTTTTATGCCTCTAGTGCATTTATTTATCCCGAGTTTAAACATCTGGAGGCAAATGTGAGCTTGAAGGAATCTGATGCCTGGCCTGCAGAGGTTGGTTTACTTTTACACCAAGGACTTTGGCATTGAATGCTGTGTTGGAAGGTTTCACAATATTCATGGTCCTTTTGCAACAGTGAAGGTGAGGCTTGGAAACAACAACAGTTGTAAGTTGTAACTTAATTATCTGCGTCTAGCTTCACTAATGTGTCGATTGATTGTATTTAATAATTAAGTGGCAGGGAAAACGCACCAGCTGCCTGCTGCCGAAGGGCGCTTACGCTAGTGATAAGTTCAAGATGTGGGGAGATGCACTCCAAACTCGATCCTCACCTTCATTGATGAATGTGTGGAAGGTGTGCTCAGGTAAATACCTCAGATCTCCTTTAAGGTTGTCATAACTTTTTGGTGGGTGCATTTGAAAAGGTGAAATTTGCAACAACATGCCAATGAACAAATGCCTGGTTTTCTTTTTGGTTGACGCTTTTGAATACAATTTGGAATTGCACATGCACAAATGCATCGGGATGATGCACTCTCATATACTTCGTGATGGATAAAAGCCACTGTGTTACCAATCACCCATAGCAAGGACTTGTGCTTCTCTTTGTACTTCTACAGGAAATTAGATTGAAAGACCTTACCACACTCAATGCAAGAAAATAGGGCTAACACACCTATGCTTCGCGGATGATTTGATGATATTCACCGAGGGTCTGCTCATGCTTTGAGTTGTGTGAAGCAAATACTACATCAGTTCTCTGTCTTATCTGGCTTGCATTGTAATCCAAACAAATGTGAAGTATTCTTTGGAGGTTCGTCAATTGATTTTAAGGATAATGTTGTCAGGGTAACTAGTTTCAAGGAGGGAAAACTCCCTGTTCAATACTTGGGGCTTCCTTTGATTTCAGGTAGATTGTCAAGTAGGGAATGTGACTGGTGGACAAAATTACAGGTAAAATTGAACGGCAAGCTAACAAACTATCCTACGTTGGAAAACTGCAGCTTATCTCATCAGTGTTGCTGTCAGTGGTACAATATTGGATGTCTATCTTTGTATTACCAAAAGAAGTTATCACAAGAATTGAGAAAGTGTGCTCGGATTTCCTTGATTTGGTGATGGTTCTTGTAAGGCCAAAGTAGCATGGGAGATTGTGGCTACCCAATAAATTAGGGTGGTCTAAATATAAAAGACTATACTTGGAACATAGGTTTTGTATCTAGACCTATTTGGCTACTACTGATAAGAAGTAATAGTTTTTGGGTGGCCTGGATCTATCAATATAGGCTGAAGGGGAAGTCTATTTGGCTGATTAAGGAGACTGCAGCAGGATCTTGGTTGTGGATAAGAGTACTGAAATTGAAAGTTGGTTTCTATTTGTCGCCTTTTTTTATACTAATCATCGCCCTAACTTATAGGATAAAGACAAAATTGCCATCAACCATTATCTGCCATCTCAACCAGACTAGAACTAGCCTTCCCTTTCTCTGCACGAGTGGGTGCCTCCTTCCGCCATTCCCCATTGACTGAAAAACTTTCTAATGTCGAAGTTCGTCGACCGCTCATCTTCACCAGCCTTTCTTTTTCGCCTTCGAATTTCATCGATAACCCACCTTCCTTTTTTTTTGACGATGTCGTGAACACCCACCTTCGTTGCCAGTGGCGAATCTAGGGAGTGGCCAATCTAGGTCACGGTTAATCCTTCTTTGGGTTCGGAGCTAGTATAGCCTATATTGAATTTTTTGTTTTTAGATATCTGACTCAGTGCTATTTTATAATAGGATTGTGTTAACTAGAAAAATAGTTCATATGAACATGTTCAAATCACTACTCTAAATTAAGCCTAGAAATTCTAGCATTAATATAATGATTTTCTTCTAAAAACATAAACAATGAAACTTAAAATTCTAAAAGTCTAAAAAAGAAAGACTAAAAGAAATATAAGGTTTGTTCTTTTGAAAAATTACTAGAGCAACCTGTGGAAATAGGGATGAACACACAATATAACTTGATAAGTCGATTGATTTGTCTAGTGTTGACATTCTCATTTCAACGGCTACTATTGAGATAACCTTTTCAACAATGAAACATGTGAAAACTGATTTGCCCAACAAAATGAGTATTGAATTTCTCGCTGATTGCTTAACTATTTTATTTGAAAGAGAGTATGCTATTTGTATGGATGACTCCATTATTGATGAATTCAGTAAATTAAAATATCGTCGTGTACAATTGACATTGTGAAAAAAACTATAGTTACTATTTATTTTTTAACGATTTCTAATTTTCTAATGAAATGCGGCCTAGTGCTCTACTGTGTCTTGGGTATTGTATTTGTGCAATGAGAATATCTTACAATTGGTTGGGTTATAAGAAGTAGGGGTGGCAGAACGGTTTTCGGTTAGCAGTTAACCGGTCAGTTTCAACCGAACCGACCGGTTTTCGGCTAACCGAAAACCGTTACTTTTATCGTCGGTCGATCGCCGGATGAGAGGGGAAGAGGTTCGACTAGCCGATTAACTGGGGTCGGAAACCGGCGGTTAACCGGCTAACTGACCTCTTCTCCTCTTCTCCAAAATGGCCCCGCACCATCCCTAAAACGACCCCCAAAAATCACTTCATTCCATACATCAACCGAATCAACACACAAAAAAAAACTCAATCTCCCTAACAGAAACCACCATCCCCAAATAAGACGCAAACCCTAATTACCTCTCACTCCTCCTCCTCCTCCATGGCTCCATCACTCTCGTCCTACCTCAGCCTCGCCTCCCTCTACACCTTCTACCTCCGCCGCTGCTTCTCCGCCGCCGGCCTCTCTGAGAAAACCGCCCCCACCGACCCAACCACCACCGTCCAGTTTTGGTCCCCAACAAAACCCAACCCCCGAAACCCTTCCCTCCTCCTCCTCCACGGCTTCGGCACCGTCGCCATCTGGCAGTGGCGCCGCCAGGTCCAGCACTTCGCCCCTCGCTACAACGTCTACGTCCCGAACCTCGTCTTCTTCGGTGACTCCCACACGACATCGTCCGGACGGTCGGAGGTCTTCCAGGCGGAGGCCGTGGCGGCGCTGATGGACAAGCCACAACCGCCGCGTCCTCCTCCCCTCCACTGCTCGGCGCCAGACGAAAGAGAGAAGCTCGGAGGAAGGAAGGAAGGAGAGAGAAGAGATCTGGTGGAGGAAGAAAGGAGAAAGGAGGAGAGGAAGGATTGAAGGAAGGACCGAAGGAGAGAGAAGAGGTGAAATGGTGGAGGAAGGAAGGAGAGAGAGAGGTCTAGTGGAGAAGGAAGGAGATAAGGATTGAGATGAGTGGTGGATATTTTTTTTATTTTATTTAATTAATTTTTTGTTTTTTTTTGGTGGAAAAGGTAATTTTTCGGTTGGCCGGCTAACCGTGACCTCTCTCACGGTCGGTGGCCGGAAGCTATAAGGGGTGTGTCGGTTAACCAATAACCGGGTTTTTGGTTTTCGGTTAAACCGAAACGACCGGCTGCCATCCCTACTAAGAAGATTATATTTGTGTCATGTGAATATTGTACTTGTGAAATAATAATATTGTATTTTGTTTATGCGAATATGGTATTTGTGTAATGAGAATATCTTATTTGATCAATATTGGTATAATATATACGACTTTGGAATGAGTTCTATGGTTTAAAATGAAACTTTGGAGGTTAAGGTTCCTCAAGGGTTGAAGTTCCCTTAGTTTTAGAAAATGAAAAGGAAAGAAAGCAATACGGGGAAAGTAATCTTTTCTACGGGTTGTTGAAGAATGCGGGAGGATGAGGCGTTGCAAATGAAAGCTCCCCCTATAGTTGCTTTGACTCAGAACCTTGACCATGACAACATATGAGTTGTTTCACCCACGTGATATCTATTCCTACTATATGTCAGAGCATTTACTCGAACTGATAAGCAACACGGATCCTACAGATATCTTCTTTGAGGTGTTAGTAGTCCAGTTGGTTGATGATCGATCATGTAGGATGGCCATGTCTGGTCTCACCCAATGCGAAGTCAGATATCGAAAAACACAACTTGAAAATAGATAGCACAATCAATTGAAAATAGATAGCACAATGGAATCAAACATAAAAAGAAGATGAATCAAATCTCATATATAGACCAAAGGGTTAATAGATTTTATACCCTTACTAGTACAAATAACAAACATATCCTTCTACTACTACTAGCTTGTACCCGACCCATTGACCGGAAAATTCAATAAGCTCAAATTACATTTTGGTAACAAATTTTAGATTTTATTTATTCGGGTAAGAAGACTGATTAGCTCAAATTATATTTGTGCATCGAATATGATATTTTTATTATCAATGAAAACTTTATACGAAGCCATCAAAGGTAACTAATAATCTTATAGTCATGATAATAAACTCATTGTTACAATTATATATTTGAGTGGGGATTTTAGGTGTTAGACACTAATGCATACATAATAGTTAAGAAAATTCAAACATTATAAAACCCTAAATTTTACTCTACCAATACGATCTTTGACTTTTCATGTGGAGTTGATAGCATAAATTGTCACTCTATTATTCATTTTTCTCAAATCTATCCCTCTACTATATTTCACATGCCCTTGTACTATATAGTATATATGTATTATCAAACTTGCCATTTGTTATAATTTTTGATAAAATTCTGTAAAATGGCGGTCAAATCACGGTTGGAAAGGTCGGAAATGACAATTTAAATTTACCCCCCTTTTTATTGCTTATCTTCTCCCTTTGCAATTCCCAAAAATTATATCCATTATCCTATCATCCATATCCCTTCCTCTTTCTCTTCCTTCAATCCAACAACAATTAAACGCAAAAACTTTTGTCTATGATGAAAATGCCGAAAGACCGACATTTGAATTTCAACCAAACTCTTTGAAAGTCCTCAATTATTGATCGATTTGAATCAATCATAAAAAATGGAACCCAAAATATTTTAGAATAATTGGATTTCAAAGTATCAAAGGTTGTCAACCCGCTTTAGCCAGTTGGCCCAGTCAAGTAAGTGAGTTGATGATTAATGGGCCCGATCATTTTAGTCCACTTTTGCCCGGATATATAAAAAAATCACTATATTGTTCATCCATTTATACATGACATAGAATCTCATCTACATATAGATAATATTACACCACTATAACAATACGTACACACTCATATAACATAAATATTCAATTTAGAATTGTGAAAGTAGGTTAGTTGAAGGGGAAAAAGAAAGGCGCAATTCGCAAACCAAAGAGAAAACATGACACAATGTGACCTCCAACTGGGGAGTCTTGTTGCAGAATTCAAGAACCAACCCGGGTGTGTGGCGCCCGTTTTACTCGTCTGGTGTGGATCAACGCGGGTTGACAACCGTATCAAAACCCTATTGAAATGAAAAGATGGGAAACCAAAATTTTAAAAGTTGGCACATCAATATTGGGAGATATATCTTTACTTCAAGAACCAACCCTATCCTAAACGTTTCCACTCCTTCTCCTACATGCCGAGAATTTTTTTTAAACTGATTAGGGCTAAAAAAGAAATAGACGTAAAAAGTTGAATGAAACCCCTAAAGTTGACTCGACTCATTGGTCAGGAGAGCTTGATATTTTACATATAGGTGTTCCCAACTTTCACACCAAACAACATTCATATAATTGTTTTCAAATCCAACTATATCTTTGCAAAAAGGAAGTCTATATCAAAGTTCCGTAAAGGATTACAAGGGAGTTGCTTCCTTGGTATATATGCACAATCAATTTTCAACCAAAAGAAAATGCTTGTCAAATTATGGAGCTTAAAGTGTCCATGAAATAGAGTATCACTAACCAATAAAAAGTTCAATCTAATAATCATAATTTTCAGTGTAATCTATAATCGATGTTGATTCTGGATTGTGGAGTAGTTGCTGGTTGTGTTGATGATTCTAATGCTGTTGTAAAAGGAGATTCTAATAGATCCTTTGGCTGCAATAATATGAATAGCATCACTGGCATATTTCTAAACAACCACCATAAACCATAATTGGCTGAAGCTTACTATCTATTGTACAACTTAGTATGGTCATCTAACTAATATTAACCACAACCTATTCATAGGAAAAATAACATTGAATGTAGACCATTCAATTCCTCTGCTTCTTCAATTGCTATGCCATCGCAACACTAATGAGTGATAGGTAACCTTTAAGAGGTGGATGCACAAAGCATTAAAGCCTGTTATCTGGGGTCTCGAAAACCTATAAAGAATAAAAGCCAGCCTATCATAGAAAGTTTTGGCAACCCATGAACATCAAAAGAGTCATTGAAACAATGCATATTATAGAGGCAAAGGGAGAACCACTTTAGAGCACAATGACTTGAAAATACC